ACTCCTACACCATGCAAAAATCATTTGTTCGTAGATTTATTAAATGTTTAAACAAAACACTGAACACCATGTGAGGCACATACATTTCATGAAACGTGCGATACGTACCAAAAAATCTCAACTCCAGGAGATCTTAAATGAGATTCTCTCTAATTATGATGCTTATTGGATGGAAGTATATAACAAAACTGAAATTGTAATTAAGAAAATCTGGATTCACACAAATAAACATGTTTTTTTCTGCAGGCCGTTTTTCCAATTCAGATTAATTACAAGTACCTTCGTAAGTACATGTTCTTCACATCTGCTATGTTATATATGCCAAAATAGTAAATTGTCTCTCTTCGGTTTAAAGTTCATTCGAGACGATAAAGCAATCATGGCATGCGATTTTAATAAGCAACATGCTTTTAATCTATATTTATTCAACACCATTGGTCATCCGTCTTAATTGAATGAAGTACATTTATTTAATGCATTTAATATATTATAATTTCTCTTAAAGAGAAATAAGCAATTAAAACAAATTTTTATCAATCTGCACAACATTGAAATTTTATTTTCTTCCCTCATTCGATCCGTGCGATTTATTTGAGTCAAAAAGATCATATGTATATATCACCGTAGAAAATGTTCAACTCTGGGGTGGCACATGCCCTCAATTAAATTTTAAATATTTATTTATATATTAATAAACTATCAATATTTTATATTTTCAGTAGTAAAAATTAAATTTGTTTCATTTCAAATAATAAAATTAATTTATGTGCCCAAATTTAAAAAAAACAATTCTACGTTTGCCACTATAAGCTGAGGTGCCTCAAGGCCTACATTCAATCTCGCCAGAAATATATTAAATGTGAGGCACTTGAAACTATGTAACTGAAAGAAAAACATAATTATAAAAAAACAGAAACATAAGTTCATAAAATTACATAACTAGTATAAGGCCAAAAATGATAGAAATACATATGCTTATTAATTCTAAAGAATGATAGAAATACATATGCCTATTCATTCTAAAGATATTTGTGTTGCATATCGCATAAGCTTGTATGACAAAGTGATTTGATTTCAAGAGAAGTAAATAAAATGTGAAATTTCTGTGGAAATTCCATGTAGATAATAGTATAATGCATTATGTAGTACTTTTGTGCTTGTATTGCAGGTGACTAAGAAGGAATTTATTTTGATGATTATGTTTCAGCTCAAGGCGGTATGCATGATTCCCTCTTTTCAACCAAATGTACACTTACATTAACTCTTTATAGTTATCATGTGGTATAGTATTGTTCTAACTTTTTTTGGATTGTAATTAATGGAATCATGTAAACAAAATCTTTTGATACTTCAACTTTGATATTTACCTTCTTCAGTTGGATTTTGTGGTAACATTCATTACATGTGTAGGCTCATGTTTTAATAAATATTAGGATATCAAGATAACGTTTTCTATAAAAATGATAACTCTAATTCGGTATTTCTGTTTATGTGGAAGAGTTTGAGTTTTTCTCATTCAATTGCACTTGATTTATGGGGCTCGCTATATGATAGAGAGCATGGTGTGACAAGAAAAGCAATAGAATCATGTTAACTTTCCCGAACGACTATAAATAAGTACAGGCCACATAATGCAACTATATGTTTAGACCTATCCAAATTTAGTCAGGCTTAAACTCTTCCCAGATACGAAAAACAAATATTATTGATAAAACCAAATAGATGATCAAAATCATCATGCTTGAAAGGGAAAATACAACAATACGACCCCGAAAATCTGAAATAGCAACAGACACGACACAACTAATCAAACAAAGGTGGGATCTCGGGATGGTGGTGATGAACAGCGTGGGTTTGGAGTGTGTTGGTAAGGTGAGAGTGTGAAACAAGTGGTGGATATGACTGGGCAGCAACAACAAGGTGGAATTTAGGTTCCTGGGGGTTGGAATTGCGAATATGTGGCAGAGAGACTGTGCAAGAGAGCTGGGATGGGTTAGATCGCAGGGACATGGCCCCAGATATTGAGACAACGACTGGTGGAAAGGCGAGAGGATTTATGGTGGCTGGAACAGCATTGGAACCGCGGGAAATGTGGACTGAAATGTAGAAACTGCACGAAGAGTAGCGTCAGCAACTGTTTCGAGCAGCTGCCGCAAGAAACGATGGCAGGGAGCAGTGTGGGGAGGATGTGGAAGGGGAATAGGGAAGATACACCACCTCAAGAGAGAGATACAGTTTGAGCACCAAACAATCCCTCGGATACAACTCTTGATATGAGAAACAGACTATGGTTGTTGTCTTAAACAAACTCAGGCAAAAAAGTGACTTCCAAACCCTAATACAATATATATATATATATATATATATATATAGGAAATAATTAAAAAGAAATGAAGGATAATATGAAAGAAAGCATAATAATAAAAAACAAGATTATTATGGCCCGTTTCCCGCAATATTTATTCTCGCGGTATCAAGGTAGCTACAGTACCGCAGCAATTTTGGGCGGTAAGCTCACGCATCAGCGCATCAAAAGGAATGGAAAAATAAACACAAAATTTTAATCATCCAAATACATTAAGTTTATTATTCCATCATTGCACCCACAATTTGATGCCACCAATAATTTCAATTTCAACGTAAACAAAAGCTTCTAGCATATGGAACCGGGCAATATGTTCGCAAGTTATTTAAACACTAACTATTTATTAGGAAAAAAATCCCAAAATGGTGCCCCACTACTCTGATGGGGTAAATTTAGTCCCAAAATTTTGCAGTGCTCCAGTTTAGTCCTTCAACTATAAAAAATTGATCCAAAATGGTCCCATTAGTAAAAATCATGATACAAAAGTGATCTCAATTTAGTCTATTTATTATACAAAACTGATCACAATTTAGTCCCCAAGGAGCAATTGAGATCAATTTTCAATAATCAAGGGATGAGCATTGTAGAATTTTGGTATTAGATTGGCCACATTTGAATAGTCAGGGGACCATTTTAGAAGTTAACCCTATTTCATTACAAGAGAAAAAAAATGCTAAAACAGCTACAGCAGTGTAAACAACATAAACAAAGTATTGATGCAAGAAAGAAAAAATATACTCAAACTAGATTTATTTAAGTAAAATTCTCTTTATGACTTGTCTTATTGTCAAAAAATACAAAAGGTTTCCAAAATAAATATTATAAAGGTTAGATTATAATTGGACCATGATGTAGTCTAGCAAGTAGTTGGACCAATCAGAAGAAGTCAGAAGTAACAAAATAATTGGTATAATGATAATGAGTATGAGAAAAGCCTAATCTATTTTGAAGTTGGATTTTTTTTCATTTATTTATTTTTCCAAGATTATGTTTTTGCTCTAAGTTTATTTACTTATGTGGATAATAAGCAATTAATATATTTATTTTCCATGAGATTAGGGCTTAGCAGGGAGTGGGGGGTTCACTTACCTCCATTCAAACCAAGAGGCCGCCCCCTCTAGCTTTCTATTCTATTTTGATTAAGAATTTTTATTTGGACTATTTATTTGCTAGTTTGATGAATGAAAAGGTTGTTGTCAGTAAAAAAAATTGAGATTTTTTCTGCGATATTTGGACTATTTATTTGCTAGTTTGATGAATGAAAAGGTTGTTGTCAGTAAAAAAAAAATGAGATTTCTTCTGCGAGTTGAAGGCTTGGTAGCCTGTCAAACAAGATGGGGGATTTGGTGATCTTAAACATGCTATTGCTTCGAAAAGTGAGATTTATCTTCTCTTTTGTAATTTTTATTTTAATATTGTAATCACAGTTTCATCCTTTCTCTACCTTCCCATACTTCTTTCCTAATTTTCCTCCCACAAAGCCCTAACAAAACCGAACCTAGGGTTGTCGGCCAAGGCTAGAGTTAACAAGACCAAGTTTCAATCCCTTAACTATTTGGTCACCCTAAATCATTTGAAATTTTGCAAAACAAAAAAAAACTCTAAATCCAATCTAAACATATTTTACTACAACTTAAAGGAGGAATCTTCTCAATTTTCCCAACCCTAAACACATCCACCAAGACCAAAGATCCACCTTAGAACTGGCAACCAGATTAAATTCCTGTATAACCAAGGCTTAATATAAAGGAAGATTTACATAAATGCCACCTATAGATTTACTTATCTAATACCTAAACATTGATATTTACATTAATATCACTTTAACTTTACATAAAAAGATGAATTTCATTTTTAAAAAGTTAGTAATAATGATATTTTTAATGTGATATAAAAAGATTTGAGTGCTAAAAATGTAAAAGTCAAAACTCTGGTATTAGGCATGTAAATCAATAAGAATTGTGTGAAATGCCCCTAATATAAAATCTAGAGAAAATATCAAAAGATGGTAAAATCTTATGAAAAATTTCATATCACAACTAGACATCCTAATCAAAAATTTTCAAGCATTTCCAAGCCCTACAGTGGCCTAGATCCTCCACAACTGAAGTCTATAGTTGGATTTAGGGGTTTTATGTTTGGGCTTCCCTTTGGTCGGTCAACTCTGGACTTAGGATTTTTCTTAGGACCACTCATTCAAAACCTAGTTCGTTGCTTTGGCTCCTAACTTAGGATTTTCCTTAGGTCCACTCATTCGACCCTTAGCCCATTCCTTCTACACCTTCCAAACATCTTTCGAAGCTTACTAGCCAAAAATCCATCACTCCAATGCAAATCCTGGGTCCCAAACCAGATACTCCAACATGGTAGTTTCTAAATTTACAAATAAAAATTAGGAAAAAAATTCACAACCTAAACCTTACTATAAAATGCCAAAAAACTACATAGCACAATCATTAAAAAAAAATCTAGTGAATGAAAAAAACTAAATGATGTAACACATTCCCAAAGATGCGAGAACATGCTCATCCATATGATAGATGGGAAAAGATAGAATGTCATATAGAAAAAAAAATCATAAATGACAGGCAACAGGACATTTCTGGCGATTTGAGCCATGTGAATTAGTACGTACCTGAATAGCAGGATTTGATGTCAAGACAAGAGATATGCTTAGACCATCAAAAGCTTCAGTCAATGAACCATTTGTAAGGGTTTCCCACAATCCCTTCGATTTTCCAAAGGAACTTGTTTGCATCCTGGAAGCTGCTGTATCCAATGGCTATAGGATAAACAAATTAATAACCCTAAACTCATGTCATACAGCTGGTATTCAAGCTCGTGTTGAAAAACATATATAAACCTGGGTGATAATAGCAGTGCAAGCACCAGCACCAGCTGCAATAATCAAGTTCACAGTCGTTCCAATGGATTTGACTCCACTCTTCATAAGATAAAGTCGTTTGAAATAGCTATAACCATAGAAGTACACAAATTGTGCTATGACAGAATGTAAGTTCTTTGTGCCAAGTCCTTGGTATAGTGAAAGAATTTGTCCCTTGGAAATTGCTTCAAACAAAACATCAGAAAGGTTCCTGGACAAAACCATTCAAAAATACAAATATTAAACTTTGCAGTGCTCCAATGTAAGTGAGCCTATATAACTGCAAGCACCTAACCATGCATAACAAAATTAATAATTAGCACTCTCTAATGCCAACTAGCTTGTTCTCAATTTTCAGGATGTATATATTTATTTGACATGTGAGGGGAGACAAAAAGGGTTCAAGTCATTAAGAAAAACCCATACAAAATAAAAAATTAAAAATAAAAATCAACTATTCTATTTCTTCCTTCACATTGCCAAAAACTTGGGATATAGAAACAATAGGCAGTTCCCATGAGTTGCAATGCATGATAAGAATATTGAATCATTAGATGTGTTACAAAGGCTCCTGGTCGAATAAGAAAATAAATTAAAACACAAGTAGATTTTAATTGAAAAAATATAAAATTAAATTCAAATCGTTTCTATTAACTTATCCATTAGATTAAAAGTAGCACATTAGTTAATAATCGAGTGTCTGCATAAAAAATATTGCAATTTTCAGTCTAAACTGAAACTTAAAAATAAGGATTTTGATGAACTGAGAGTTAAGTATTAATTAAAATAGTCATTTCAAAATCAAATTATGTCACGTGTCATGTTCAAATTTAAAATTAATGACGAGCATTACATGAAAAGTAAATTTTAAATATGTTTGAATTTAAATTAAAAAATTATGCCACGTGGCAATCACATGATGGGCCAAGTACAATCTCCTTGAAGCATGTGCACTAGCTTAGTACAAATAAATATACTTAGACTGTAAGAAAATGCCAACAGGATGATCCAAATCTTACTATCTAAGGATATTCCATTTAATTTTCTGTCATTTCCATTTTCAGTCAGTTCAAAGGATCATGGAATGATCATAAAGGAAGCATGGTTTTGTTAGGTCACAACTGCAGTAAGGAAAAATAACTCAAATAAAACAACACATTGAGCTAAAAAGCATAAAACACACATTTCTCCAAGATAACACTACAAAAACATGAAGTTTAATTAACATAGATATGATGAAGAAATCACTTCTTCAATAGAACGAGAGCCAACTGTCACACCCCACCGATACTATGACATGATGGATTATTCTAGAAGATGGAGGCCTTAAGAACAACCTAGAAGAATCTAGAATATGTATGTACATAAGAATGATATAGAACTATCTAGAGCTAGAATATTATATTGTAAAGCTTCCCTTGAAAAATAGTCTCACATTGGCTATGGTTATGTGTAAGCTAGGTGTAAGACCAAAGACATGGGGGAAGCTATAAATAAGAGTCTCTTCCCCTGATCCCAATCCATCCAAGGTTTCAAGTTTTCAAGCTTTGTAATTTCTCTTTATTAGTGAAGCATTTTCTTCTCTAACTCTTCTTCCTATTCTACTTTCAAGAGAGTGCTTTGAGTTGTTAGTTGGGAAGGTTAGGCTGATTTAGTGCTAAAATAGAGCGCTAAAGCCGCATGGATAACTCGAGGAAAGTTAATCCGTGACAGTTGGTATCAGAGCCTTAGTTTCTAGTGAAGGAGAAAAGCGTCAATGGAGCACGTGATGGAGTCGGAAGCCACTAATGTGGAGTCATCTCAAGGGCGAGGTCGCTAGGAGCAAAGGGACCCCGTTGCACCCAAGCCATATGGGAGGTCTAAGAAGATCATGCATGGCTTTGATTCGAGTTTTGCTCGAATGGAGGAGGCAATGAATGGCATGGAGGGCCAAGTAGAGGACCTTGACCAAAGGGTTGATGGACTCGAGGAGGAGGACGTTACCATCCATTCAACAATCAGAGGTATGATGCTCCAACTTGAGGAGACCTTAATGGACCAAGTGGCTAAGTTGCGGGAGGATTTTATGGGGAAGCTCCAAGAGGTGCGAAGTGCCTATAAGGAAGAGATGACTGACATGCGTGCTAGCTTGGAGGAGATGTGTGGGGACATTTCGTTGTGCAAGAGGGCACTAGTGACACCCACCAACCATCAAACCTTCGAATCCAATAGGATTGAGGTGCCAAAACCAAAGAGTTTTGAAGAAACTCGTGATGCAAAAGTGGATAACTTCTTATTGGGACTGAAGCAATACTTCATAGCGATGGGGATCACGGATGAAGAGGCAAGAATTCCAATTTGCTACTCTTTTCCTTTCAAATATTGCTATGCTATGGTGGAGAAGAAGGCGAGGAGATGTCGAAAAAGATATGTGTATCATCTCCACTTTTGATGACTTTAAGAAAGAGCTAAAGAGACAGTTCTATCCTGAAGATGCGGAGGATGGGGCTAAAGCCCAATTGCGAAGACTCAAGCAAATAGGATCGATCCGAGAATATATCAAGGAGTTTACTAGTCTGATCCTTGAAACCCCAGATATGTCAGACAAGGATGTTCTATTCAACTTCATGGATGGAATCCAACAATGGGCAAAGACGGAGCTTAGGAGGCGTGGTGCACAAGATCTCGCTTCCGCCATCGCCATTGCAGAAAGCTTGGTGGACTATACAAAGAAGTCTACAAAGCCAAAAGAAAAGAAGAGCAACTATGTCAGAAGTGGGGGAGATCGAGAGCAACACAAGGAAGAGAATCATCACGAGTAGACCTCGTTCAAAGCAAGAGACAAGGGGAAGTTTAACAACAACAACAAGACTAAACCATACAACAATTGTTTCCTTTGTGGAGGACCACATTGGGTAAGGGATTGTCCGCAGAAGAAAGCTCTGAGCTCTCTCCTTGCAAGTCATCAAGAGGTAGAGGAAAATAACATGGACGCTCGGGTGGGAACCATGCAACTACTCAATGCGGTATGCTCCTCTCCAGAAACCACGACAAAAGGGCTTCTCTTTGTAGAGGTGATTATAGGGAAGACATCTACTAATGCAATGTAGATACGAGAGCTTCTCACAATTTCATCTATATTGAAGAAGCAAGGAAGATGGGTCTGCAAATAACTGGAGGTGGGGGCTCCATCAAGGCGGTTAACTCTGCAGCTAAGCTGATCCATAGAGTGGCTAAAGGAGTGAAGACATGTGTAGGGGATTGGTCAGGTACGCTAAATTTCTCAATCATTCCCATGGATGATTTCAAGGTAATCCTTGGTATAGATTCTTGGACCAAGTAAAGGCGTTCCCGATACCATTTGCCAATAGCATGTGTATCATGGGAGGCGATCAAGCTTGCCTAGTACCGACAACAAGAGCTAGGCAGCAGGAGACCAAGATGTTATCAACCATTCAATTCAAGAAGGGCATTCGACGAGAGGAGGAGAGCTACTTGGCTATCCTTCATGACTCCAACGAAGAATTGAAGCCTGAAGAAGCCATGCTAAGGGAAGTAGTGGAAGTACTTGAAGAGTTCAAAGATGTGGCACCACCAGAATTATTGAAGGAACTACCGCCAAGACGGGAGGTCGATCACTCGATCACCAAATTGAGCTGGAGAGCTGGAGCCAGGGACTAAGCCACCAGCAATGGGAGCTTTCCGCATGGCACCTCCAGAATTGGCAGAACTACGCAATCAATTGAAAGAGTTATTGGAGGCAGGATTTATCCGACCATCTAAAGCCCCTTTTGGTGCTCCAGTTCTATTTCAAAAGAAGGACGGTTCCTTACGCATGTGTATAGATTATTGGGCTTTGAACAAAATTACCGTGAAGAACAAATATTCAATCCCTCTCATTGCCGACATTTTTGATAAACTGGGGAGTGCAAGATGCAAGATACTTCTCAAAATTGGTCTCAAAATTGAATCTCCGATCAGACTACTACCAAGTGAGGATAACAAAAGGAGATGAACCAAAGACCACTTGTGTGACCAGGTATGGGTCATTCAAATTTTTGATGATGTCTTTCGGCCTAATCAATGCTCCTACTACATTTTGCACTTTGATAAACAAACTATTCCAGCCATAATTGGACCAGTTTGTTGTCGTCTACTTGGATGATATAGTGGTGTATAGCAACACTCTCCAAGATCATCTAAAACATCTCCGAGACGTATTCAAAGTTCTTAGAGAAAACAAGTTATACATCAAGAAAGCAAAATGTTCCTTTGCCAAACAAGAAGTGGCGTTCTTGGGGGCATAGATAAAGGAGGGAAAGAGGGAAAGCTCATGATGGAAGAAAGCAATGTCAAAGCCATCCAAGATTGGGAACATCCTACCAAGGTACCTGAACTAAGATCCTTCTCGGGACTTATTAACTAGTATCGGCGATTCATAAAGGGCTGCTCTGCAAGAGCTACTCTGTTGACGGACTTACTCAAGAAGAATAAGTCGTGGGAATATAATAGTGAGTGTCATGAAACTTATGAAGACCTCAAAGAGGCAATCAGTGAAGAACCCATACTCAGCCTTCCTGATCATACCAAGGTATGTGAGCATATCGATGCTTTAGACTTTGCTATTGAAGGGGTACTCATTGAAGATAGGCACCCAATTGCCTATGAAAGCAGAAAATTTAATGAGACACAGCGTCGCTATACAGTCCAAGAAAAGGAGATAACAGCCATCATACATCGTCTTAGAGTATGGAGACACTACTTGCTCGGCTCCAAATTCCAAGTCATGGCAGATAATATTGCCACCAACTACTTCCAGCCTCAGAAGAAGCTAAGTCCTAAGCAAGCAAGATGGCAGAATTTGATTACATCTTGAAGTATAAGCCAGAGAAGGTCAATGCAGTTGCGGATGCACTAAGCCGAAAAGCAAAACTTGCAAGCTTGTCACAAGTCTCCAGCTCCCTCATAGACAAAATAAAAGAAGGTTTGGTCTCCGATCCACAAGCCCAAAGTATTATTGCTTTAGTGAAGGAGGAAAAAACCAAGAAGTTCTGGATGGATGAAGATATCCTTTACACCAAAGGACGACGCATCTACATACCAAGGTGGGGCAACTTAAGAAAGAAGCTAATCAATGAATGTCATGACTCTTTATAAGCAGGACACCTAGGTATGAAGCGAACTCTTGCACTTTTAAAAACAAATTACTACTGGCCAGGGATGAAGGAAGGG